GCACCCTCCATCTGCCTCATCTATTTTCAGATTGCCCGGCTGGAGCAGACCTGGATGGTGCTGCGGCAGCGGCACACGGAGGGCGCGATACTCTACGAGAAGAAGCTCAAGCCGTTCCTGAAGAGCCTGAACGAAGGGAAAGGTAACGGGAGCAACCTCTGTTCTCTCACCTGGCTGCACCTTCCTCCTTGTCTGGGCACAGCCTTGCTGGAGAGGGACGCATCTGAGAGCTCTGACCCTCTCCCAGCCAGGGCCAGATGCTTCCCCTCTGGCTGCTGAACAGCCCCAGCACCCGGCAGAGCCCGTTTGGCCTCGGCTGCCCCTTCCTTCCCAAGGAAGCATTTCATAACTAAATAAAACCAGTGGCTGGGCACAAACACAACTCAGCTGAGCCAAACCCTCGCACTCGCATGGCGGTGCGTGCCAAGCCGAGGGGACAGGGCAACCAGTCGGGGAAGATGAAAAGACATGTCTCTCCAACACCCAGCACTCTGGGCTCTGCAGACCTGCTCCCTGTCACGACCATGGGAAATGCGGACGCAGCCTGATCGCCCTCCCGGCACAACCAGAGAGTCTGGCTGGGAGGAGCTGGTGTTGAACAAGGAGATGGCCCCGGGCACAGCGATCGCAGAGCCACAGCTGCTGCTGTGCCACAGCTGAGCCTTAAAGCCTCCCCTGGGAGCGTGGTGGCAGCCTGGCTTTGCAGGGCGGTGTGGCCACGCAAGCGCTCCAGTGGGGCCGGGGCAGATGGGGAGGGGGACGTAGGGGCACAGGGCTGTGCGGGGTCCTCAGGGTGCCTCTCTCCGCAGAAGGGCCGCCGCTGACCAACACCACCTTTCCCCACATCATGCCCCTTGTGACTCTCCTGGAGCGGGATGAGGCTCTCACAGACACCCCCGAGCCCTGGGAGACCACCGACAATGGCGTCGAGGTGGTCATGGCCCACCTGGAGGCAGCACGGATGGTGGCCCACCATGGCGGGCTCTACCACACCAACGCTGAGGTGAAGCTGCAGGGTAAGCGATGGGGACGGCAGAGCCCCTTTCCCTCTGCCACATTCCAGTGGCAGTTCCAGCCCAGCACCAGACGGAGCATCCCACGGGTGCAGAGTCCCCATCTCGGGGAACTGACTCTCCCTCTCTGCAGGTTTCCAGGGCAGAGCGGAGTTGCTGGAGGTCTTCAGCACCGAGTTCTGGGGCAGCCGTGGGGCTGAGAGCAGCCAGGCCGAGCGCTACGAGAAGTTTGACAAGGTCCTCACAGCCCTGTCCCACAAGCTGGAGCCGGCGGTGCGCTTCAGTGAGCTGTAACCCCCCTGGGCACTGGGAGACCCCACCCAGCTCCCAGCCTGCCCCCCCCAGAGGCTGTGGGGCAAGGGATGGGGCCAGGTACCTGGAACCAGGAGAAGGAGAGAGAACACAGAAAGGCACTGGGGCATGGGTCAGCAATTTTGTGACAAAGAGGAGGGAAAATGGCCACCTCCCATCTACCACCCACCTCCCTGGGACACAAAGCATCGGGAGTCCACACCGCTGCCCCGAGGGACAGGGAGAGTGTCTGGGGAGGGCAGCGGCGGGGGGCCCCACCCCGCCCCC